GCGAACCGTGCTTTATCGAGCACCAATACATCTGATTGGTTCATATTTGCAAAAGTCGAGTTACATTACTCGCTATTAATGCTAATGGGTACAATTAGACTAAAATGTTTTTCTTTGCCCATTTTCATATTACGTAATTGTCATGTCATTGGATTGGAAAGACATATTCGGCTTAATTAATGGGTTGATTACATAACTGCGGGCGGAACTTTGAAATATTAACCTTGTTATTATTAACTCGAATTTTAGATGTAACTCTTCGCCTGTAAAATAAGTAGGTATGCCTAATAATCAATGAGTCGCAGGTTTGATATCCTGTAACCACAGTTACCCCTAACACAACACAACAGCACAACAAATTTAGTCATAGACCTGTCAGGCCTTTGTTAGATCATCATCATGTTTAGATGTCATATGGTCGAGTACTTCATCCGACCTAGTAAGGACTATGCTTATATCTCCTTTGTTATAAAAAGCATTATTATAATATAAACCCGGCCACGCGTTGCTTTGGCTAAGTTATTGTTTATAGCAGTGCCATCTCGCGTCTTAGTCAATCAATGAACGTCAAATTTATAAAAAATTGGCGTAAAAATATATTCCTGTCTCTAGGCACGTTCTCACGACGTGCCTAAAATCGTTTGTTTGTCCAGAGTTAATTTAATAGATAAAGACAAATAACTGCCGTCGTGGTACGCATTTGGATCGTTTTAAAGAGAAGAATCATTATTTCATAAATTTGTTGAATCATTGAAGCCCTCAAAGCTGAATAAATTTCCCCGTTTTTTTCACATTTCCTACTGTTTCTTTGCTCGTATTAGTCGCCGCACGATGCAATACCTAAGCCTTCCTAGATAAATGATCTCACCAACACAAAAATAATATTTGAACTTCCATCTGTGATTCCCGAGATAAGCGCGTTCTAACAAACAAACATCAGCTTTATAATATTAGTACAGATAATAACATTAGAAAGTTATCGCGAGTTCCCTACAAAAATCAGCAGCGCGCTGCCCAATTAACTCGTTTTTAACTTCGCACCGTAAAACAATCGTTTTACTCGGAACATTCAGTCTGTTTTTATTTCACAAAAGATTGATCGCGATCCATTACCGTGAAATTGTATCGCGAAAACACGGGAGCTTTGCTAATAGAGCCAACATATTTCCGACCGAAAATGACAAAATCGCGGACAATTTATACGATACGTTGTTTATTAAATGAAATAGATGTTTCCTTTAAAAGTTGTGGAAAAATGAAAACTTTTATGAAAACTGGTTTCCTGGATCGTTACGTGTAACAAAAAAGCTCTATATATTTAAATAAAACCTTTTAACGGTTTCAAACGCGATACACACTTTGCTGCAGGCGTGGTCACGGTGAGACGTCGGGCCGTAGTTATAATAATTTTGAAATCGGTTTAACTAATATAAATCGCGTTTTAAACCATTAAAGTGTAGGTAAATACTGTCTATAGTTTACGCGAGTAGTACACATTTAAATAAAACACTTTAACGGTTTAAAACGCGATATATTAGTTAAACTTATTTGGTTTCAGTTAAAAAAGTAAAAATGATTTTTAACTGTTAATACCAAAAATAATAAAAACGTTGTTTTTTCGGTTACCTTCATTTCATCGGTGAATTTAAAAAAAAGGCCTAATTTAATATAGCCGCCCGAGTCGGCTCCGCAAAGGCTGACTGACCGGCCTTTTTCAATGCTTTGCTAAAAGGAGCAAAAATTCATCAAAAATATTTTCCGCGAAACGGGCTAGGAAGGTCCCTAAAAAACAAAACTTTTGCTAAGTTGGAATTACAAAGTGAAAAGCTAAAATAGAATTTGATGAGACATAAATAAATAAATAATTCAATTAAGTTTTAAGGGCGTATAAACAAACATGTTACCAGGAGTAAGTTTTAATATTGTTTTTTTATAGTAAAGGAGAACAGGCAAGCATGCAGTTTACTTAATGACATCTAAACAAGATGCACTGTCAAAATATTTCGGCTTAGGATATTCGGAAATCCACCGAGGCTTCGAATAAATGCAATTAATTTTGACGGCTTTTTCACTGTGCACAGCTTGGTATTTGACTCGGGCGGAATTTTGATGTGGTAGGGTCATCCATTTCCAGACGAGGTGTAACAAGTTTCAGAAAAATTATATTATTGCAAACGTGTTGGACCCTGTGGTGCATCAAACCCACGACCCGTTGATTGTTAGCCATATATTGCTACTATTAAACTAATAAGCGCGTCTAAATATCAAAAAATAAATATATAATTCAAAGAAGAAATAAATTTTCAAATTTAAAAAATCAACCAGTGGTGTTGCGTGAACACAAAACATTCCAGAAATAAATCTAATGTTCAGTGAATTGAAGCCGAATTCGTCTCAGTCAAAAGCGACCAGGAATTTATAGTAACACCGATAAGGCTGAGGTCAGAGGCAATTCAACTGGAAGACGGAATGATAGCGTGTCATTTACTACCCTTGTCAAGGTGCCTTAAATGGTAAAACGATTCATAACACAACATAGAGCTGGACGCTGTCAAGTGATTTTTCGGTAGATATCGGTAGATAATTCAGTAGGTAGGGGTATATTGTAACAGTACGTTGTAAAGTAAATTTGATGCTAGAAAACTGTTTTAAACAAATAAGTTTCACTTGTTCCCCGTGACCACGGCTGCAAAGCCTCCGAAACGTCTAAACGTTAAAGAACATTGCAGATATATTTCGCGTTTTAAACCGTTAATAGTGCTTATATTACTCGCTTTGTGTTTTATTATATGCTGTAATTGTATGTGCGAATCACATAATTTCTTTCTTCCTTCTTTACTTAACTTCCTTCTTGAATTGACGAAAACAGTCATTTATTTAATAACGCAGTATGTTGCGTTCTATTCCCAAATATAGGCTTCATAAAATAACAAATTCATTTGTGGGGAATTGTATTCGTATGTTTAATACGATACTAGTTGAGGTTACAAATTTGTCAATAAATAAGTTTTAAAAAGTCATAAAATTTAGGTTATCTCAAAAGGCGTATTATTATTTGAACTATTTCTTTAATGACAAGGATGCCTGGCAGTGATATGAATTGCTCCTTAGGTTAATCAACTCACAAAAAGTATTAGTTCATATGACATGTTTAAAAAAGCCGGACTGAGTTTCTTGGGCGTTGCTCTTTGGAACACTCTGTAGAATCACGACGAACAGACAGACAAAAATGTTTGACGAATGTAATTAATTTTTTAAATTTTAAAGAGAATAAAGTATATTTTATTTTTATTTCGTTGAAGGCTCAAAAACATAAATAACACGGCATATAATAGTTTTTATATAACAGCCTCGAGTATCTTTCTACCGTTGTCTGTTTCTTAGTTAAAAGTCTGTGAAAGCGGCGTCTTTATATTATAGTTTTCACGCCCGGCATGAAACGACAAAACATAAACAATATCCCAAAGGATTATGTAGGTCATTTAAGATCGATCTTTCATTTCTTAAGTTATTAAAGTAACACTTACTGTTACTTTTAAATAAGCACCAGTTACTTTCAAAGGACAACAAAAGAATTCACAGGAACCTTTTATGTTTTATAAAATATTTTAACGATTACAATGTGTAACAGTGTTTAACGATGGTGTAAACATTTTAATCGATTGCGTAATTATTAGGGAGTTTAATAGGTGTGGATAAATTTTGGTCGAGAGGACCTTATCTAGTGGACGCAAGTAGCTTTAGGGTGAGTACTCATTATGATAAAAGTAATAACGTTAAATATTTAACATTAACAATAACAAGTTATATTCTTAAAATATTTTCCAATTTTTAAATCTATACTAATATATGAAGTTGAAGAGTTTGTGTGTTTGTTTGTTTGGACGCGGTTCGAATTGAAAAATTCTTTATTTTTTGTGTCGGTTTGAGCATTTATCGAGGAAGGCTATAAAACATCGCGCTGCGACAAATAGTAGTGGAGAAACAGCGGGAAATGTGAAAAAATACGGGGAAAATTATTTATCCTTGTGGGTTTCCGGTGCGTACGCTTCGCAAACGGTTTAAGATACCCAAAAATATACATAAAAGACTAATCCCTTTCTAATGATCTAGAAAAATGTCTGGTACAGTGTACTTTTACGATTTATTGACAAGCATGGCGGGTTGCGGGCAATTTCTTAGGGAACGGCCCAAATTTTTTTTTTTTGCCCAAAAAATTTTTCCCCGGGGAGGAGGCCCTTGCCCCCCCCAAAATATTTTAAAAAAAATTTTTTTAACTTTTTTCCCCCCAAAAAAAGGGGTTTTAAAAAAAAAAAAGAAAAAACCTCTTTCAAATGTATTTTTAATATTCGCATCAAAGAGTCATTAGACGTTGCTACTATTCGATATATTATGTGTTTTTAAAAAAATCTACGAAAAAGTCGGTTTAGTGTACATTTTAGTTCAACATATTTTTTGAAGACTATTTAGCAAAATTTTCTTTCTTTTTTCGAAAAAATTTTCCAAAAAAATTTTTTTTTTTTTTTTAAATAGGGAAAACGGGAATGAGAGATATATTTTTATATTTTTTTTTTTTTTTTGAAAATAAATTTATATCAGTTTTTTTTTTTTTTTTTTTTTTTTTGTTTTTTTCTCTTCAAAATAGTGAATTATCCACGTTGGAGGTGATACATACTTTTTTAAATAAATTTTTAAAACTTAATATTTTCAATTTATCGCATATGAGAGTATTATATAAATTAAAAATGTATTGAAAAAATCTGGACAACGTCGTTTTCTACACGTAACTCAATTGGTTAGAGAAACATCACGGAACGCTGTGGATGCTGGTTCGAGTCCTGTCAGTTTGATTAAATCTAAAATCGATTTTTAATTCATTAAAAATATGTCTTAATATAGGGCATAAATTTTAGGTTAATAGGACGCCTCCTATGTGCATGTACCTTTATTTAAAGCCAAGCATTACTATAACACACCTTATTCCACTTTATATGTGCATAATGCAGCATGAGGTAAGTACAGCTATTCCAAGCAACACTAATTCACGAGTCTGCTCACAGCCTTAAAAGCCCATTACGAACCGTACGTTTGGCCTAATGAGTAAAAATATTAATAGCCACGTTATTAATTACGATAGCTCTAATTTATTACATCGCTAAGCTTAATCGCTTGTTTGTACTCGTATACAGTGTGGAGATAACTTTTATTGTACTTGAATCTTTATAATTTTCATTTGGTGGTTATATAGACGAGCATAGGTTTAGCTTGATGGTAGGTGAGATAACTTAACCTATATAATCTCAATTAGATCCACTATCGACCTACTATTTTAACTTAGGGGATTCGGACATCTACAGACTGAAATCAACTTCACTTGGATGATCGTTTATGACCCGACCATGTTTCTGTCATGTTTCAGCATAATAATAAAATTAGAAACATGTCGGGCCCGGTGGGGATCTAATCCACGACCCTCTAATTATCAGGCATAGATTGCTACCATAAGACCAATTTAATTAAACACATCTCAATTAGGTATACGTATTTACGAGTCCTGTCTCTGTCAAAAATGTTATTAAATTTACTACGTATGTTTTTGTATTACAACTTTAGTCCTAGTACTTGTACGTTTATAATATACAAGTAGTGTACACAAGTAGTGGTAGTGGTATTAAAAATTATTTAAAGTATCTATATTTTTTTATATAAAACATGTACATAGAATACGATACTTGTGATAAGGTATATTTACACAACATTTTGTTAAATTTATAATTTTTAATTATTAATTTAATCAAATATATATATAACGTTCATATGTTTCACAAACATATGAACATGTTTCATACAAAAGTTTGGGTGGTAAGGTGTAACGATTGATGGTATATTTTTTAATTTGATGATAGTTCAGTTACGACTGCTTACAAAGTACGATTACATAATAATATTACATAATGTTACATGTTGTGATACAGGAAAATGATAGTGCAATTGCAAAAAAAAAATGAAATAGGACGCAACACGATATTCATATTCTTGTCAAAGAAATAAAATTTTAATCTTAACGCAGCCTCATAAAAGATATTGCATAGTGTTGACACATATTCAATACTCGACAGTAAAAGCAAAAAAATATTTGAAACATTAAACTTTAAAGGCTCGTAAAATAAAATATTGTATGGGTTTTTATTTTGCACGGAGTTAAATGTTGAATATTCATAGATGGTTTGATGCGTCGTTTCACAATTTCCCATTTGCGACAGTAATTTTTAACAGAAATTAAAATAATATTGTTGTGACGTCATGAATTGGGTACGTTATGAGAATATTTTATTTTTATTCGAATCGAAAACGTTGTAAATGTAATGAAGTAGTAATTGGTTTGTGTGGTAAATAGACTCACGTGCTTTGTTTATTACATGGAAAAAAAGGATATCATTATTATAGGATAGCACTATAAATGAGGAAACGAAGACCGCGTTTTCCCTAGGTAATAAATCTTTAAACATAAAAAATTAAACAGGAAATATTTAACAATTAATCCCCAACCATTATATAGTGAAAAATAATTTATTTCCTTGAAGCATACTATTTGTATGCCCTTATTATATTTCTTTTAATAAAAGTAAAATACAAACTAATGGATTAATGTGGCGCAATAAGAACTGTCGGCCATTTGAATAATTACTTAATTGTACAAAAATCAAGATGGCTGCATGGATGCTATCGATAACTATTGAATATGTTTTATAATATGAGTCTAATTGTGAAATAATTAAATTAAACTTTTTATGCAATGCATAAATGAATAAATCTTTAGCAATGTATTGCTAATTATCAACGGGCCGTGGATTCGATCGCCATCAGATCCAACATGTTTCTAATTTTTCAATCTATATTAATAAAGCTAAAGAGCTTATTTGTTTGTTTGAACGCGCTAAGCTCAGGAACTACTGGTTCGAATCGAATAATTCTTTTTGAGTTAATTATAATATTTATTGAGAAAGGCGCGTTTTAAAATTGCGTCGTGACAAAAATGTGACAAAAACGGGAAAAATTATGCATCTTGCAGGGTTTTCGTTGTTCAAGAAACCAACACAACATGCAAGGACCATTCCCCCAAATTATTCAACTTGCAAGAACGACCCGAACGACGGGACGCGTACGACGGGATACGAATGTCGTGGGTAACAGCTAGTTTATAATATTTCTGAAACATACTGGACTTCGTCTAGTAATCTGGATATTGAATGGGTGGTAGGTATATAGAAATTCAAATCACCCTAAAGTTTAATCACGATTTGGTTTCAGTCTCTGGATGTCCGAATATCCTAAATAAGTCAAAATAGGTCGAGAGCACATCAGTTTTAGGGCTGGCGTACTTCACATACGAACAAGTGAAAGTGCGCTTGTCTGTCCCTCTATATCATAAAAACTATATACACATTACAATGGCAGAATTCTAGAAAACACGTTTTAGTTTTGTTTTACTATGTTTTAGATATCAACTTTATCGCTGCTGATAACGGTATATGTAACTCGCGCAGTGCGCTTGCACACAATTTTCCAATTTTTGGACGGCTACAAAGCAGACCACAGCCTCCAAGGCTACCTCCACGTAGGAAGAGACTACTCGGTGTTCCTAAAGAAACCGCAAGCCCACGACAAATATCTCGTATACGAATTATACGAATCTAAGAACTACGACGACGAGAATTTCAAACCGAATCTACTCGCTATATCCAAGGTATTTTTTTTTCTTTTTTTTGATTGATTATAACGTATCAGGCACGGGGCCGCTTAAATAAAATATACTTTATTCTCTTTAAAATTGTTAAGATTAAAATGTTTGTCTGTCTGTCCGTCGTGATTCTACAGAGTGTACAAAAGAACAACATGACCGGGAAGAACACCCAAGAACTCACTCCGGCTGTTTTCAACAGGTCTTCAAAACTAATACATAATTGTGAATTTATTAACCTAATGAGCAATTCATATCACTGCATTGTAATACTAATACTAACCGTTGATATCCAAGGTACCGACTTCTTATCTTCGAGAGCAATTGAAGATATATCGCGGCGAGCTGTACAGAGCGAAGTATGTAGACGATAATGTTGTGGCCGGCACTCAAGTGAAAACACTGAGGGAATGGCAAATAGAGAAGGCGTTAAACTCCCAAAATAAAGGCTTGATTGTCGGAGAACCGTCGCCCCTGCGGACTGTAGTACTGTAATGAATTATTCGCAGTCGTGTTTTGTTTTTCAGCGGTATTGTTGGCTCCATTCACTCGGGTCCATTCATAAAAAGTAAATACGTGATTTCTTTTTGAGTAACTAAATGGATTCTTTGATGCATTGAGTTGTTTTTGTAGTCATTTTTTCAGCTCATTTGCAATTGAGATAATAAAGAGAAATAGCTTTTTACTTGATAAGTATTTGGAATATTTATTGAAGATTCAGATTTCACAAACTTACAATTTTATTCTAGTAACAATAAGACATATGTAATTAGAATAAAGAGTCATTGTTTTAATTGAGAGTGTCATGTACAACCTCACCTAAACCATTATGTTCACATATAGTAAATATTAATAATAAAGAATAACAAAAAAACAGTAATAAATTGTGTAAGGCTCCACACGTGATGGCGAAACGTGGAGAACCACGGAGACAATGCTAAAAAAACAGTATATTAACTACGCTCCAACGTTTAGGGTGCTTTGCAGAGATGTGATCATGGCGATGACGATGGGATCAAGGGCTGAAGATCCCATCGTCATCGTAACAATTTTCAGTAAGTCAGTCTTCGCGGATTCGATCCCCAACCCGTTCAACATGTTCCTTACTAACTTATTATATGACTGGGGTATTTTACCTACCATAAAGTGGACCCCACGCTTGTCTGTTCTGCTCACAAAAGAAGCATCGGAAACAACGGCCAAACCGTTAAAACACTTTAACGGTTTGAAACGCGATCTCCCTCTGGCAGTCTCCCCATGACCACGGCTACTGCAAAGCATCCGAACCGTCGGGCCGAAGTTAAAAATCATTTCCAAATAAGTTTAACTAATATATCGCGTTTTAAACCGTTAAAGAGTTTTATTTAAATGTGTACTACTTGCGTCAACAATAGACAGTATTTAATAAGTTAACTAATATATTTCATGTTTTAAACCGTCAAAAGTGTTTTTATTACGCGTAAACTAGTTTTCGGTCAGGATGTCTTTCGGTTGGAATCTAAAAGTTATTTAAAGCACGCATCTACCTATCGCGTTTGACTTTGTTAAAACATTTGTAAAGTGTCATTCGCACACGGCACGTCTTACATACATACGGACGGAGCCCCCTTCGAACCTTCTGCCTAAGCCACCTTGCCATAAAATATAATTTAAAGCGCCGCATTTTCCGAGGCATTGGCGATAAATATTGTGCGATACAGCATATTTCTGTCAGAGCATCCATCAAGGCTGGTTGACAGCGGGTTACACTTGTATCCCTTGCTGAAGTTACGTTTTTAGCTACGATAATGCTATTTAGTCATTGGTTACCCCCAAGACTTTTTGACCATGTAGTTTACGCGAGTAGTACACATTTAACGGTTTAAAACGCGATATTCGGGAGAGTATCTCAGACGTTAAAGCAAGAAACAGCTACACTATCGCCATCTGTTCCGTCGTGGGTTGGTATTTGGCGATTATATATATCCGAAATGTCGGGCCGTAGTTAAAATAAATTTCAAATATGTTTAACTAATATATATGGCGTTTTAAACCGTTGAAGTGTTTTGTTTAAATGTGTACTACTCGCGTAAACTACAGACAGTATAAATAAAGATTCTGAGATGTAAAAATAAAATCTTAAATATAGGATTGTCAGATTGTTTTCAAGCGTCCATTATGGAATTTTAACTGCAGACCTCATTCATAGTCAAATATTCCTTCGTTTTTATTCAACAGTTGTTTTTGCCTCGCCTCCAAATCAAAAGTAGACAAATAGCATCCATCAAAATATTTTCCATTCTTTTTCGTTTCTGATGAGTTCCATTAAGGAGGTACTACCAAGTTTTCGTGACTTTAACTTTTGTCGCTCTCAAAAAGTTTGTGAGAGCGAAGGTCGGTGTAGTGGTGTGACACGACTATTCGTGAAGTTTTAAGTTCGGTTCTATGGCGTGAACCAAAAATTCTGCATTTTAAATTTTTGTTTAACGGACTTAAACCTTTATTTACTATGTCACCCCATAAAACCTGAAATTTACATATTACACAAAGAAGTATGTTACAATAGACCTACATATTAAAATGATAGTATAAGTTTAATAGTAGGTAGTAGTATATAAATACTGTCTATAGTTTACGCGGGTAGTACCCTACACATTTTAATAAAACATTAACGGTTTAAAACGCGATATATTAGTTGAACTTATTTGAAAATTATTTTTAACTTCGGCCCGACGTTTCGGAGGTCACGAGGAGACTGGCCACCGAAGTTAAAAATAAGTTTAACTAATATATCGTGTTTTAAACCGTTAAAGTGTTTTATTTAAAAGTAGTAGTATATAAGCTAGGATACTAGGTTTACCCTAAAATGGCGATGGAAGGCCAAGATACTGACACAATTGAAATAAACTTATTAAAAAACTCGACAAATTTAAAAGTAAAGATTTGTAGTACATTAAAGAATATCTTAAGAGTAGATAAAAGTAAGTACAAGAACCTAATGACAATAATGTAGTTTCACTTCGAAGTAGCATACTTTGTACTCAATACACCAATTTAAAAAAAAACTTTAAACAGTTTAAAACGCGAAATATATAAGGTGATTTCTTTGAAAACTTTATTATTCTTCACAAGGTATTGCACATGATGGCACTTACTATATAATAAATAGCAACAGCACGGAACGCTGATGATGATAAGCTAATGATGCTAGATGATGAATCAAGTCCTGCCCGAGTCAACTTTTTTTTCAATTTCGATCGCGGCTGCTTGCAGACGTCCGAAACGTCGGACCTTAGTTTAGAGTAATTGAACCAAAATATTTCGCGTTTTAAACTGTTAAAAGTGATTTAAATGTGTACTACTCGCTAAAACTATAGATAGTGCTACATTAAACCAAGCTTAGTACGTTACACACACGTAAGCTTGGCTGTATTTAACTTAAAGATTTTCTATTTGCCCGAGGACGATATCCATTTATCTACAATTTGTTATATGGATGTATGTTTATCTAGTTCACTTTATCTTCCTGTTAGAACCGGGATCTCGTAGGATCTAGAGTTTGTACGTGGGATATGTGTGTATTTACTGTAAATACTTGGTATTGGCATTCTTCTACTGGTAAAGGTTAACTTATTTTTATAATATAACTGTACTGATAGTAATAAAGAGACAATTTTATATAGATTATAATTGTATATAAAACTAATAACTGGGATCCTATTTACCAAACAGGACTCTACGAAAATTTTACTTGCATTTTAGTAAAATAATGAAAAACTGTATCAAACCGTTCGATACAAAAAAAAAATTACATAACAATCTACGTTGACAGTACTAAATATTTAAATAACACACTTTAACGGTTTAAAACACGATATATTAGTTACACTTATTTCAAAATAATTTTTAACTTCGGGCCGACGTTTCTTTGCCGTGGTCACGGGAAGACGTGAGCACGGCTGCTGCAAAGCATCCGAAACGTCGGGCCGAAGTTAGAAATCTTTTTGAAATAAGTTTAACTAATATATCGTGTTTTAAACCGTTTAAGTGTTTTATTTAAATGTGTACTACTCGCGTAAACTATAGACAGTATTTAGTACTTGTGTGCTTTCACAATTTAAGTACCGAAAGCTTCTTCTTCTATACTCATTTTTATAACAGAAGAGAACAGACAAAGGTTCACTTGACGAAAAGTGAAAAGAAATCTCTTTAAAATATAATTAATAAATAAATATCTCTATTACTTTTCGACATTCAAACTGAAACTCGAGTAACAAACATCCAGTAGACATCGAATCTACGACTTGTAAGTGATTACTACTATAGGGATGTCGGTAGTTTACGCGAAATTAAACTTATTTGCAACGTCGGGCCGTAGTGAAAATAATTTTCAACTACTAAATACTATAGGGCTACCAAGCAACAAATATTTATGTATCAACCCTTACTGTCTTACATATGATTGGCATTGTACAGTATAATTTTGTATATTAAATAAACATCAACAAACTTTACGACCTCTAATTTTCAGCGTTAAAAGTTTTTCATCCAAAGGGAACGCGACAAGTCCATTAGAAAGCCCACTTCTCATTAAACTAAAACCAAAGTTATATTCGATCCAAAAATAGTCACCAGGGATTTGAGACCGGATGTAAATTCACCAGTTTTCAATTTAACTGATGAATATTCAATGCATACAAAAATTCGCTTGTATTCGTGGTAATGTTGTTTAGACGAGTCCGTCAGTACTGTGGTTCAATAGAAATTATTTTTAGAGTTTTTAGATTCAAACAAAAGTTACATAGAAAATGTACGATGGCCTCGTTGGTATAACGTTAACGATGTATGGCTAATAATCAACGGGACGTGGGTAGACCCCTATCGCATCTCTTATTTCTGAAACACGTTGGACTTCGTCTGGAAATCTGTTAAAATTTACGCCCAAACCACAAACTACCGTCCTCCTACCGTCGAGTGAAGTTTGATTTCGTGTCAGTATCAGTATGTGCATTTACAAATGTCTAATCCAAAAAAGGTCGATAGCGCAATTTGTTAAGATTTCCATCAAACCCTCCTCTGTCATAAGAAAATTTTGGTGAGGCAAAACATTTGAACATCGTCTGCAACATCTCTTAATACTATACTAACTTTCCTAGTTCATATTTTAAGTATAACAAGTTGTTTTGAATCACTAATTTATCTTCTATGAATTTTATAACATTACTTTTAAAATAATTAATAATATTACAGTTTAAATTAAAATTTAATGTTTCCATACTTATATACTCAATACGAGACCTTATAAGTACTAATTTTTATCATTGACAACTTTAATATTTCACATGATGGCATTATATAACACAGCTACAGCACGGATCGCTGTGGGTGTCGGTTCAAGACCCGCCCGAAAGCAATTTTTTTTAATTAAAATTGATTTTGAATGTAGTCTTTAATGTTAGGACAAAAGCTTAAACATTCGTTCGAATCATAGTTTTAAAGTTTACGTACGTTTTCTA